TGGAGGAATTTTTTTGCGAGAAACACAGTATGTGTACCTCTCTGCCTGACTCTCAGAAACTGCTTGAAGATGGTTGATCTTACTCCTAAACTTGGAATTTTCTTCTTTTAACTGCAAAAGGAAGAGCAAAAGAAATACCTAATTGAACAAATGTTTGCCTCGTATATCAGTAGCAAAGTTGTTTGGATGACACTGGATTAAGACAATGTGTATTTTGGGATAAAGAAAAACATGAATATCTAAATTTTTGGTCAAGGACCCAGGTTTGACTCTGCTCTGTCTGCAAAATTAAAGGGATTTTGAATCATTAGGAGAAAAAAGGAACCGAGGAAGAATCCAGAGTTCATGGAGCCCAGAGGGCCAGTATGAAGTCAGGATGTTGAAGGTGCCTTTAGGGTAGCCATATTTCAAACAAACCAAGACATATCAGGGATTTTCCTGATGTATGGCAAGCCTACTTTAAGACACCAAAACCCCATCTCTCCACAACCAGGTTCCTGGCTGGGACCCACACTAGTACAGGGCCTCCAAGTAGCCTTTGAGCAGTCCCTGGGGCGAGTTTCAAAAGTGTGTGTGATTTGGGGGAAGTGGGGAGCGGAACAACTCTCACTGTTAATTATAATAACCTTCTGATGTTTTTAAATACTAGTTTACAACAGTCTTGTTAATAATTTTAATGTTTATTGTAAGCTACTCATAAGATTTGTTACATTCAAGAGGCATATGAATAAAATAAACAAAAAATTAATGGGGGGGGGGGATACTGCTCCTCCCGAAAAGCCTGAGGTGAACACAGGCCCCTGGGGCCCATATGGTCCAGCCTACACAGAGGCCCCAATGGAAAGCCCACAAGCGGGGCCTGAGTGCAACAGCAACTCTTCAGCTGTGCTCCCACCAGCTGGCATTCCGGGGTAGACTGCCCCTGGGCAGGGAGGCTCCTGCTATCCCACTAAACCAGGCATAGGCAAACTCAGCCCTCCAGATGTTTTGAGACTACAAGTCCCATCATCCCTGACCACTGGTCCTGTTAGCTAGGGGTGATAGGAGTTGTAGTCCCAAAACATCTGGAGGGTCGAGTTTGCCTATGCCTGCACTAAATGTTCATATGGAGAGCTAAGCTGGATTGGCTCAAAGGGAGCCCATCTGGTCCCGCCTCCTGTCCTCACAGTGGCCAACCAAGATGCCGCAACGAGAAGCCCCAAAACAGGACTGGAGCAAGAGCTCAGAAGCATTACTGCCTCCAACGGGAGGCGGGGGGGGGGGGGGAATAAATTGGGTGGCAGGAATTAAGAAGGGCTACAGAACACTTCCTTCCCTTGCCCAGCCTGGGACTTGAGAACCTCGAAGCAGACCCATTTGCCAGGGAGCAATCCTGGCCTCCCAGCTCATTCAGGAGACGTGGACTCGCTATTCAGATGGAAGGAGGAGCATTAGGAAGAGACCCAAGCAGCCTACAATTCAGATTCCCATCTTCCTCACTTCTTCGTAAGTCGGCTGGCAAGGAGGCAGATAAAAGCTGTCCCCCCCGGCAGCTCCATCCACAGGCAAGCTCTGGTCCTCCTTGGCCCCCAGCTTCCACGGAGTAAACCTCTGGAGCTCAGACAGGTCAGAGGGATTGCAGCAGAGAGAGTCATGGGTGCTGTCCAAGGAGGTGCTGGGCATCCTGCCCAGGTGGGCCTCTTCAATGGCTGATGGCTGGTAGGTGCTGCTCCATTCGCTGTCCTCGTCTTCATCCTCCAGCGAGGAGTTAGTTGCCATTGGGTTCGGGGGAAACAGCTTGTGGAAGGCCACATCCAAAGACCCAGGGGACGAGGTGCTGTCGTCCAGGAGGAGTGAGAACCTGGAGGAATCCTAAAATGTCAAAGGGGGGAAATCTGTTCTCAGCCTAAGGAAGAGCCTTGGGATACTTCAAAAACACAGCCCATCACTCAGGAAAAGAAACCCATGGATACCTGACTGTAGTTGCTTAAGAGCAGCCCAGAGAGAAGCGGCTCCGCTGCAGCTCCCAAACACTGTGTGTGTGTGTGTGTGTGTGTGTGTGTGTGTCACTCTCCCCTCTCCCCTGCCTTTGCCTCCTCCAGAGGGGGCTGTAAGGGCCTGCCTGAGCCTGAGGGGGTGCAGGTAGCACAGGCACAGCTTTCCCACCGCTGGAGGAGGAGGGGGGAAAGGAGGAGCCATGCAGGACAGCAGCGCCCCCCTCTCACCGCGCAGCCCCCTGGTGCCTGGGGCAGGTCTCTCCTCCCGGCCCCCCTTTCCTCCGCCAGTAGCCTTCTCTCTGCAGAGCCACTACTCTTCCCACCTGTGGCACAGGAAAGAGGGAGGCCCGTGAGTGCGGGGAGGTGTGGGAGGTTCCTCGGGGGGGGGGGGGGACTCAGCCACTTGCCCCCTTGATTCCTGGTGCCCCCCATCGCCCGCTTTGCCCCCCAGGCCTTACCTTGGGGCTGCTGGTGTTTGACCCTGAGGAGGCCAGGGCAACGCCGCTCAGCCCCTTTGCTTCCTCCAGGACAGGGGCTGCCAAATACTGGTTCTTGCTCCGCACAAACTCCTTGAAGGAGAAGGGGTTGGCCTCTTCCTCCTCAGGTGCAATGGAAGATCCAACTGGAGGAGGAAGCCAAGGAAGGAAGGAAGCCTTACAAACAGGGGAAGGAATAAGAGGGAAGATCTGGGACTGGGGGGGGGATGCACAGCCCCCCCCCAGGGATGCTCATTTTGCTTGCAGCTGCAAACACACACCTGCCTTGACTATGATAAGGGCGACTTTTATGGCTCCCCCTGGAAAAACAGGAGAGACGCCTAGCAGTTAGAGCAAGGGTCAGCAAACTTTTCGAGCAGGGGCCAGTCCACTGTCCCTCAGACCTTGGGGGGGGGGGGAGGGCGGACTATTTTTTGGGGGGAGGGATGAACGAATTCCTATGCCCCACAAATAACCCAGAGATGCATTTTAAATAAAAGCACACATTCTACTCATGTAAAAACACACTGATTCCCGGACTGTCTGCGGGCCAGATATAGAAGGCGATTGGGCCGGATCTGGCCCCTGGGCCTTAGGTGGCCTACCCATGAGTCAGAGCTTCAGGCTCGGGCCTGGAGTCCCCAAGGGGCATGGGCTGGGGAGCCCCACCTACCTCAAGGGCTGCTGTTGTGGGGATTCAGTGGGGAGAACCGCCCTGGGGTTTTGGAAGAAGGGTGCTGTACTAATTTAATTAGTTAATAATGAAAATAATGCCCCCTTTAACTCCCTGGGAATACAAAAGCAGTCAAAAGCAAAGGACTAGTCCCAGAGGGGACTTCCTCTCCTCCTCCTCCTCCTCCTCCTCTCTCTCGCAGGAGCCTCGGCTGCCACTTTCCTCTCAAGCGCTCCTTGTTCTTGCCGAGGCAGCGCTCCAGGCAGCCACTCCTGAGCCGCTTGCAAGGGAGGCGCTCTGCACGCGCTCAGGAGCACCGCCCTCCGCGCTCTCCTTCTGACCCTCTTCCCTCCCGGAGTCCCGCCCAAGGCGCTCTGCCCATGCTCAGAGTCCTACCAGCGGGGCCTGCCCGGGGCTGCTGGCGCCCGAAGGAGGCTTCGCCCGCGGCGGGAGGGCGGCCGGGCCCCGCCATGGAGCCGCGCCGAGGGAGCCCCGCCCGCCCCTTCCAGGCGGGAGGGAGAGCCAAGAAAGGGCAGAGTCGCACGCGCGGGCCGCAACTTCCGGCACTCCTTCGGCACTTTCTCTCGAGGACGCGCGTCAAGCACGACCCGCCCCGCTCCTGGAACTGTAGTTTGTTCAGTGCAGCAGGAAGGACTGCGGAAGCAAGGGGCTTTCAAGCCCGGCAAGCGAGGGGGAGAAGGTGCTGCATCCTCCGGGAAAGGGCGCGTGGAGCTGGAAGGGGCCCCGGGGCCCCTAGTCCAGCCCCGGAGCAGCGGAAACAGGATCAAATCTCTTTTCTGATGAGAGCAGCTTTTGCATCTCATTTGGAAACCAAGGACCCAGAGTCTGGAGAAGAATGCTTGAAGTCCAGTGTGAAGTTTCCACTGTCTGTGTTGATTTGGGGAGCCCTGTCATCAGCTGGTGTTGGTCCACTGTGCTTTCATTAAGTCCAGGGTCAACGCAGCCGGCCCTACCAGATTTTGGAGCATTTCATGCTTCCTTCTGCAGATGAGCATTATGGGGATGCTGACTTCATTTTCCAGCAGGACCTGCCCCACACTGCCGTAAGTATCAAAAACCTGGTTCAATGCCCATGGGATTACTGTGCTTGATTGGCCAGCAAACCGCCTGACCTGAACCCCATAGAGAATCTATGGGGCATTGCCAAGAGACAGATGAGAGACATGAGAGCCGAGCAATTGCAGAAGAGCTGAAGGCTGCTATTGAAGCATCCTGGTCTTCCGTAACACCTCAGCAGTGCCACAGGCTGATAGCATCCCATGCCACACCGCATTGAGGCAGTAATTGATGCCAAAGGGGCCCAAACTAAGTACTGAGTACATATGCATGCTTCTACTTCTCAGAGGTCCAATATTGCTCTATTTGTAGTCCTTGTTTTGCTGATTTCATTTAATATTCTAATTTTCTGAGATTGTTAATTTGGGGTTTTCATCAGCTGTAACGCAATGATCATCACAATAACAAATAAAGGTTTGACATATCTCGCTTTGCATGTCATCGAGTCTATCTTTGCATGTCATGAGTCTATATTAGTTTCACCCTTTAAGTTGAATTACTGAAATAATTGAACTTTTCCACGATTTTCTAATTTTCTGAGTTTCACCTGTAACCTCCCGTATTCTATTTTATTGAACACTGCTTCAGTGACTTTTTGTTGCGAAGAGGTTTATAAATCTGCAAATGCGCCTTTACATGGGCTTATTTCAAAACGCTGCCAATGGTTTGGAATCATAGTTCAGGAGTCCTTACCCATTTGCCAGGGAGCAATCCTGCCTCCCAGTCATCAGGGAGACGTGGACTCGCTATTCAGATGGAAGGAGGAGCATTAGGAAGAGACCCAAGCAGGCCTACAATTCAGATTCCCATCTTCCTCACTTCTTCGTAAGTCGGCTGGGCAAGGAGGCAGATAAAAGCTGTCCCCCCGGCAGCTCCATCCACAGGCAAGCTCTGGTCCTCCTTGGCCCCCAGCTTCCACCGGAGTAAACCTCTGGAGCTCAGACAGGTCAGAGGGATTGCAGCAGAGAGAGTCATGGGTGCTGTCCAAGGAGGTGCTGGGCATCCTGCCAGGTGGGGCCTCTTCAATGGCTGATGGCTGGTAGGGCTGCTCCATTCGCTGTCCTCGTCTTCATCCCTCCAGCGAGGAGTTAGTTGCCATTGGGTTCGGGGGAAACAGCTTGTGGAAGGGCCACATTCCAAGACCCAGGGGACGAGGTGCTGTCGTCCAGGAGGAGTGAGAACCTGGAGGAATTCCTAAAATGTCAAAGGGGGAAATCTGTTCTCGCCTAAGGAAGAGCCTTGGGATACTTCCAAAACACAGCCATCACTCAGGAAAAGAAACCATGGTACCTGACTGTATTGCTTAAGAGCAGCCAGAGAGAAGCGGCTCCGCTGCAGCTCCCAAACACTGTGTTGTGTGTGTGTGTGTGTGTGTGTGTGTGTGTCACTCTCCCCTCTCCCCTGCCTTTCCCTCCCAGAGGGGCTGTAAGGGCTGCCTGAGCCTGAGGGGTGCAGGTAGCACAGGCACAGCTTTCCCACCGCTGGAGGAGGAGGGGGGAAAAGGAGGAGCCCATGCAGGACAGCAGCGCCCCCCTCTCACCGCGCAGCCCCCTGGTCCTGGGGGCAGGTCTCTCCTCCCGGCCCCCCTTTCCTCGCGCCCAGTAGCCTTCTCTCTGCAGAGCCACTACTCTCCACCTGTGGCACAGGAAAGAGGGAGGCCGTGAGTGGGGGAGGTGTGGGAGGTTCCATCGGGGGGGGGGGGGATCAGCCACTTGCCCATTCGGGGGTGGCCTGTGGAGGGTCTTTGGGGCCGGAACCTCTCCACAAGCTGCTGGGAGGAGCTGCCCATTTGCCCCACCACCACCAAGAGATGGGTCAAGCGAGGGGGGGCAGGTAGAGAGATCTGCTTCCATCTGAGATCTCAGAAACAAATTGAGGATAACAGAGACCACTGTCCCCTACAAACCAGGTGTATTATTCAGCAGTCAAGACACAGGGAAGAGTGCCCATTACAGAGCCATCCAGGGCTGGGAGGGCCATGGTCTTCCTCCCCTGGCAGGCCAGACTCACCGCCATCAGCTCAAGGTTCTCCTCCACCTGCTGCACCATCGCCTCCAAGTCCCGCGTCTCCTTCTCCTCTTTCCGCCGACTCTCCTCCAGGGTCCTTTCCAGCTGCTTGATTCTAATTTACAAAAGGCAACAGCAGGGAATCAAGCATTGCCTTTGTGTGGGGGGGGGGCTCCCTAGCTCAGCAATTCCCAAACTTTTGGGGGCCACCACCTCCTTGCTTCCATATATTCCTCCCCCTCAGTGCCCCCTACCCTATAAACAGGATCATTCAGAATAGTGGTTTTGCACAGCGCACTAAGGTAACAGCACAAAAAATGTTCAAAACAGTAACAATTTATTGCACCTTCATTCAAAATCAAATTAAAACTATTTAAAGCAAATTTAACAATTGAAGCTTTTAAAACAAAACAGATTTGCTGCCTCCTCCTTGCCTCTTAGCGCCCCCCCCCCCAATCTCACTGCCTCCCAGTGGGATTGGCCATTTTAGTAGTCACCTTAGCTGATAAAGGACCAATTCAATTAGTATAAATTTGCAAGAGCATAGCAATACTTTGCAAGTGTGAAAGCCATCATCTCAGAAGAGATGACTCTCCCCCGCAGGCCCATTCAAGGCAAGAGAAAATGACTCTTCAAGAGATTCAAAAAAATTGCAGGTGCAAATATTAAGGACTTATATTAAAAATAATACTACGTGTGCTGCTCAATTGATTGGGAACACGTTTTAAGATGACTTAAAGGCATTCTTAATCAATGAATCCAAGTGACTGATTCACTGTTGAAGTCATAACAAAAATACTTTTCGAGGTTTGGTTTTTGTTTTTTTTAAAGGGCTTGTTATTTAGCTAAGTTGGAGGAATTTTTTTGCGAGAAACACAGTATGTGTACCTCTCTGCCTGACTCTCAGAAACTGCTTGAAGATGGTTGATCTTACTCCTAAACTTGGAATTTTCTTCTTTTAACTGCAAAAGGAAGAGCAAAAGAAATACCTAATTGAACAAATGTTTGCCTCGTATATCAGTAGCAAAGTTGTTTGGATGACACTGGATTAAGACAATGTGTATTTTGGGATAAAGAAAAACATGAATATCTAAATTTTTGGTCAAGGACCCAGGTTTGACTCTGTTGCTCTGTCTGCAAAATTAAAGGGATTTTGAATTATTAGGAGAAAAAAGGAACCGAGGAAGAATCCAGAGTTCATGGAGCCCAGAGGGCCAGTATGAAGTCAGGATGTTGAAGGTGCCTTTAGGGTAGCCATATTTCAAACAAACCAAGACATATCAGGGATTTTCCTGATGTATGGCAAGCCTACTTTAAGACACCAAAACCCCATCTCTCCACAACCAGGTTCCTGGCTGGGACCCACACTAGTACAGGGCCTCCAAGTAGCCTTTGAGCAGTCCCTGGGGCGAGTTTCAAAAGTGTGTGTGATTTGGGGGAAGTGGGGAGCGGAACAACTCTCACTGTTAATTATAATAACCTTCTGATGTTTTTAAATACTAGTTTACAACAGTCTTGTTAATAATTTTAATGTTTATTGTAAGCTACTCATAAGATTTGTTACATTCAAGAGGCATATGAATAAAATAAAACAAAAAATTAATGGGGGGGGGGATACTGCTCCTCCCGAAAAGCCTGAGGTGAACACAGGCCCCTGGGGGCCCATATGGTCCAGCCTACACAGAGGCCCCAATGGAAAGCCCACAAGCGGGGCCTGAGTGCAACAGCAACTCTTCAGCTGTGCTCCCACCAGCTGGCATTCCGGGGTAGACTGCCCCTGGGCAGGGAGGCTCCTGCTATCCCACTAAACCAGGCATAGGCAAACTCAGCCCTCCAGATGTTTTGAGACTACAAGTCCCATCATCCCTGACCACTGGTCCTGTTAGCTAGGGGTGATAGGAGTTGTAGTCCCAAAACATCTGGAGGGTCGAGTTTGCCTATGCCTGCACTAAATGTTCATATGGAGAGCTAAGCTGGATTGGCTCAAAGGGAGCCCATCTGGTCCCGCCTCCTGTCCTCACAGTGGCCAACCAAGATGCCGCAACGAGAAGCCCCAAAACAGGACTGGAGCAAGAGCTCAGAAGCATTACTGCCTCCAACGGGAGGCGGGGGGGGGGGGAATAAATTGGGTGGCAGGAATTAAGAAGGGCTACAGAACACTTCCTTCCCTTGCCCAGCCTGGGACTTGAGAACCTCGAAGCAGACCCATTTGCCAGGGAGCAATCCTGGCCTCCCAGCTCATTCAGGAGACGTGGACTCGCTATTCAGATGGAAGGAGGAGCATTAGGAAGAGACCCAAGCAGCCTACAATTCAGATTCCCATCTTCCTCACTTCTTCGTAAGTCGGCTGGCAAGGAGGCAGATAAAAGCTGTCCCCCCCGGCAGCTCCATCCACAGGCAAGCTCTGGTCCTCCTTGGCCCCCAGCTTCCACGGAGTAAACCTCTGGAGCTCAGACAGGTCAGAGGGATTGCAGCAGAGAGAGTCATGGGTGCTGTCCAAGGAGGTGCTGGGCATCCTGCCCAGGTGGGCCTCTTCAATGGCTGATGGCTGGTAGGTGCTGCTCCATTCGCTGTCCTCGTCTTCATCCTCCAGCGAGGAGTTAGTTGCCATTGGGTTCGGGGGAAACAGCTTGTGGAAGGCCACATCCAAAGACCCAGGGGACGAGGTGCTGTCGTCCAGGAGGAGTGAGAACCTGGAGGAATCCTAAAATGTCAAAGGGGGGAAATCTGTTCTCAGCCTAAGGAAGAGCCTTGGGATACTTCAAAAACACAGCCCATCACTCAGGAAAAGAAACCCATGGATACCTGACTGTAGTTGCTTAAGAGCAGCCCAGAGAGAAGCGGCTCCGCTGCAGCTCCCAAACACCGTGTGTGTGTGTGTGTGTGTGTGTGTGTGTGTCACTCTCCCCTCTCCCCTGCCTTTGCCTCCTCCCAGAGGGGGCTGTAAGGGCCTGCCTGAGCCTGAGGGGGTGCAGGTAGCACAGGCACAGCTTTCCCACCGCTGGAGGAGGAGGGGGGAAAGGAGGAGCCATGCAGGACAGCAGCGCCCCCCTCTCACCGCGCAGCCCCCTGGTGCCTGGGGCAGGTCTCTCCTCCCGGCCCCCCTTTCCTCCGCCAGTAGCCTTCTCTCTGCAGAGCCACTACTCTTCCCACCTGTGGCACAGGAAAGAGGGAGGCCCGTGAGTGCGGGGAGGTGTGGGAGGTTCCTCGGCGGGGGGGGGGGGGGACTCAGCCACTTGCCCCCTTGATTCCTGGTGCCCCCCATCGCCCGCTTTGCCCCCCAGGCCTTACCTTGGGGCTGCTGGTGTTTGACCCTGAGGAGGCCAGGGCAACGCCGCTCAGCCCCTTTGCTTCCTCCAGGACAGGGGCTGCCAAATACTGGTTCTTGCTCCGCACAAACTCCTTGAAGGAGAAGGGGTTGGCCTCTTCCTCCTCAGGTGCAATGGAAGATCCAACTGGAGGAGGAAGCCAAGGAAGGAAGGAAGCCTTACAAACAGGGGAAGGAATAAGAGGGAAGATCTGGGACTGGGGGGGGGGATGCACAGCCCCCCCCCCAGGGATGCTCATTTTGCTTGCAGCTGCAAACACACACCTGCCTTGACTATGATAAGGGCGACTTTTATGGCTCCCCCTGGAAAAAACAGGAGAGACGCCTAGCAGTTAGAGCAAGGGTCAGCAAACTTTTCGAGCAGGGGCCAGTCCACTGTCCCTCAGACCTTGGGGGGGGGGGAGGGCGGACTATTTTTTGGGGGGAGGGATGAACGAATTCCTATGCCCCACAAATAACCCAGAGATGCATTTTAAATAAAAGCACACATTCTACTCATGTAAAAACACACTGATTCCCGGACTGTCTGCGGGCCAGATATAGAAGGCGATTGGGCCGGATCTGGCCCCTGGGCCTTAGGTGGCCTACCCATGAGTCAGAGCTTCAGGCTCGGGCCTGGAGTCCCCAAGGGGCATGGGCTGGGGAGCCCCACCTACCTCAAGGGCTGCTGTTGTGGGGATTCAGTGGGGAGAACCGCCCTGGGGTTTTGGAAGAAGGGTGCTGTACTAATTTAATTAGTTAATAATGAAAATAATGCCCCCTTTAACTCCCTGGGAATACAAAAGCAGTCAAAAGCAAAGGACTAGTCCCAGAGGGGACTTCCTCCTCCTCCTCCTCCTCCTCCTCTCTCTCGCAGGAGCCTCGGCTGCCACTTTCCTCTCAAGCGCTCCTTGTTCTTGCCGAGGCAGCGCTCCAGGCAGCCACTCCTGAGCCGCTTGCAAGGGAGGCGCTCTGCACGCGCTCAGGAGCACCGCCCTCCGCGCTCTCCTTCTGACCCTCTTCCCTCCCGGAGTCCCGCCCAAGGCGCTCTGCCCATGCTCAGAGTCCTACCAGCGGGGCCTGCCCGGGGCTGCTGGCGCCCGAAGGAGGCTTCGCCCGCGGCGGGAGGGCGGCCGGGCCCCGCCATGGAGCCGCGCCGAGGGAGCCCCGCCCGCCCCTTCCAGGCGGGAGGGAGAGCCAAGAAAGGGCAGAGTCGCACGCGCGGGCCGCAACTTCCGGCACTCCTTCGGCACTTTCTCTCGAGGACGCGCGTCAAGCACGACCCGCCCCGCTCCTGGGAACTGTAGTTTGTTCAGTGCAGCAGGAAGGACTGCGGAAGCAAGGGGCTTTCAAGCCCGGCAAGCGAGGGGGAGAAGGTGCTGCATCCTCCGGGAAAGGGCGCGTGGAGCTGGAAGGGGCCCCGGGGCCCCTAGTCCAGCCCCGGAGCAGCGGAAACAGGATCAAATCTCTTTTCTGATGAGAGCAGCTTTTGCATCTCATTTGGAAACCAAGGACCCAGAGTCTGGAGGAAGAATGCTTGAAGTCCAGTGTGAAGTTTCCACTGTCTGTGTTGATTTGGGGAGCCCTGTCATCAGCTGGTGTTGGTCCACTGTGCTTCATTAAGTCCAGGGTCAACGCAGCCGCCTACCAGATTTTGGAGCATTTCATGCTTCCTTCTGCAGATGAGCATTATGGGGATGCTGACTTCATTTTCCAGCAGGACCTGCCCACACTGCCGTAAGTATCAAAACCTGGTTCAATGCCCATGGGATTACTGTGCTTGATTGGCCAGCAAACCCGCCTGACCTGAACCCCATAGAGAATCTATGGGGCATTGCCAAGAGAAAGATGAGAGACATGAGACCGAGCAATGCAGAAGAGCTGAAGGCTGCTATTGAAGCATCCTGGTCTTCCGTAACACCTCAGCAGTGCCACAGGCTGATAGCATCCATGCCACGCCGCATTGAGGCAGTAATTGATGCAAAAGGGGCCCAAACTAAGTACTGAGTACATATGCATGCTTCTACTTCTCAGAGGTCCAATATTGCTCTATTTGTAGTCCTTGTTTTGCTGATTTCATTTAATATTCTAATTTTCTGAGATTGTTAATTTGGGGTTTTCATCAGCTGTACGCAATGATCATCACAATAACAAATAAAGGTTTGACATATCTCGCTTTGCATGTCATGAGTCTATCTTTGCATGTCATGAGTCTATATTAGTTTCACCTTTTAAGTTGAATTACTGAAATAATTGAACTTTTCCACGATTTTCTAATTTTCTGAGTTTCACCTGTAACCTCCCGTATTCTATTTTATTGAACACTGCTTCAGTGACTTTTTGTTGCGAAGAGGTTTATAAATCTGCAAATGCGCCTTTACATGGGCTTATTTCAAAACGCTGCCAATGGTTTGGAATCATAGTTCAGGAGTCCTCTTCTATGCCCATATGCTTGCCCAAGTACCAAACTCCAGAACGCTGCTTTAAAGAAACAAAATCCAATTTCTTCCTATGTCACACACTGGCCTTTAGAATGCCACCGTGGTCCGCCTTCGAATACGAGGACTTTTGTGCCCCTGTGTGCATCTTCACAGAAAGGTAGTTTTCAAATCTCCATACCGCCATCGCACGGCACCAGTCAAAATCGTCCACTAGGAAATGTCCAGAACCACAGAAGCCCTAATGAGGTGAAGCTGATCATCCTTGGTACATCTTGACAGGCCCTTTGAAAGCGACTAAGGTGTAGAACAGATCTAAAGGGACATTTCAAATAGGTGAAAGTCACGTGGTACGTTAAAATTGGTATTTATACTTGTAGAATACTACACACTGTTGCAAGATCAACACACGGGGTAACACCACAGGTGCTTGGGGCATCATCACTCTTTAACCCCTGTGAATATCAAGCCATGTACTGTAACATGCTACACAGCTTGAGTTTTCCTTGTACAGTACTGCCATCTGCTGCATTTTGACATTATGACCAGCAGCAGTGGAGAACCCACCTTCCTTATGTGTGTGTGTGTGTGTGTGTGTGTGTGTATACACACACACACATGCACTAAAATTAGAAAATAAAAGATAATAATTTATTATTTATACCCCACCAACTGGCTGGGTTTCCCCAGCCACTCTGGGCAGCTTCCAGCAAAATATTAAAATATAATAATTCATCAAATATTAAAAGCTTCCATGTATCATTTTGCTTTGTGGTTTGTGTTATTACGATGGAAAACTTAATAAAATTTATTTTTAAAATATATTAAAAGCTTCCCTAAACGGCTGCCTTCAGATATTATATAATAATATATTATTATTATTAAGATAAGTCCATTCAGTGTACAGTGGTACCTCAGGTTACGTACGCTTCAGGTTACAGACTCTGCTAACGCAGAAATAGTACCTCGGGTTAAGAACTTTGCTTCAGGATGAGAACAGAAATCGTGCGGCGGCAGCAGGAGGCCCCATTAGCTACAGTGGTACCTCAGGTTAAGAACAGTTTCAGGTTAAGAACGGACCTCCAGAACGAATTAAGTTCTTAACCCGAGGTACCACTTTACTGAAGGGAACCAGGCTTCTCGGTGGTGGCGCCCTCCCAGCAGGTGTCAAGGAGATAAAGAACCACACGACTTTTAGAAGACATCTGAAGGCAGCCCTCTTCAGGGAAGTTTTTTATGCTTGGCATTTTATTATTTTGCTGGAAGCCACCCTGAGTGGTGGTGGAAGCCAGTCAGCTGGGCGAGGTTTAAATAAAAACATTATTCTTATTTCTTATTCATTACTCTGAGCCTGCCTTTCCCCCTCACTGACTGGAAGCAGCTGCAGCGCAACCCTCAGGGAAACCCGAGGCTGCAGGTTGGACCCCCGCCGCAGGGGGCGCTGCCTCTGCCTGCCTGGGACCCTTCTAGGAGCTCCTCTCGCTGCACGAGGCCCCTACGGAGCACTTCCGGGGCAACCGGGGCCGTGACCCCCTCGCCTGGCCGCGCCCTTCCCGGCGACGCTCCGACTCGCCCCAGAGCCCGGGAAGGCGGAGGGACGCTCCCAGCGCAGCCACGTCGCGGAAGAGGGCCGCTCGGCTGCCCGGCAACGGATCGAGCGCGCCGGCCCTCCTCCGCGCCTCATGCCGGCTGGCCAATGAGCGCCACGTGGCCGGTGCTGCCCAATGACGGCGCGGTCCGCGGAGCTTGAGGTTGGCCCCCAGGTGGCCCCGACCGAGGGGAAAGAGGAGCCTGGCAGAGCGAGGGCGGGACTCTCTCAGGGCCCGCTGGAAACACAGCGAGCAGTCAGGAAATAAAAGACGTGACTCAGAAACCAGCCGCGCCGGGGTCTGCTTTGTGGTTTTATTCCGTATTTTTATGCTGGGAACCGGCCTGAGATCTTCAGACGAAGCGCAGTATACAAATGCAATAAATAATATAAAATAAATAAATAAACAGGTTAGTAGTGGGCGCACAGATGAGTATCATCCTCGTTGATTATTTATTGCCTTCTCCCTACTTCCATACAAAAAGAGAAATTCAAGTTTTATCTGGCCAATGATTCTGTCCTCAAAGACCTCCAGCCTGGGACAGTCTGCAAAATAACCACGTAGAGCAGGGATGGACAGCCATCGCCTCCAACCCACATGGCCAATGGCAAAGGAGATGAGGACCAGAGTCCAGCAGCATCAGGTTTTTCGCATCCCAGATGTAGACAGAGGTTGCATATGCACCATTTATTTAAAGCACATGGCTGCCAAAGACTCCCTGCAACTGTAGTTTGCTCAAGGGAACTGTAGTTAGCTCTAATAGTCAAACTACAGTTCCCAGGAGTCTTTCACAGAAGCCAGAAGCTTTAAATTTATGCTTTGTCCATGAGCATAAGCGGTCATTCTTCTCTAATCAGGATTAAGGACAAATAATTTTGTGGCCTAGAAAAGAATATCCGTTTCACAAGCAAAGGAAGATGTCTAAGGTTGCCATATTTTGAAGAGCAAAGAAGAGGATGCTATGACAGCCATTCAAAGCAAATAAGTGCAATTTGTATCAAATTTTACCCCTGAAAAAGAGGGTGTGTCCTGGAAAAAGAGGGCACTCCTAGTTTGGGAGGTGAGCGTGGAAGCCTGACAATAATGTTGCCCTGACTGATGTGGATGCGAGCAGAGCAAACTTGCCCACTTCTCACTAGGGAAGAGTATCCAAATGGGCCCCAGCATGAAAGGCAGCAATGACGCCAGAAGAGGCGATTTTTCCTAGATGGCATTCATGTTTCTTGCATTGGGCATCTGAGAAGGTAGCTGGCTGAGCCTCTCTTTACTGAAGTTACAATCCAAGGAGGAAAGCTTGCACAGCCCCCCCCCCCCCGGAGGCCAGGCTTGCATCTCCCTGGACACAGAGGAATGGTGGGAGGCACCCTTTGGGGAATTCCCAAGGGAAGAAGGCTTAGAGCTTGCACATTGGTGGTGGGACCACGATGGGCGAAAAGAGGGAGAAGACTGAGAAGAGTTGGCAGAAGCTGAAGAGGTAATAGGTCTTAGTGAGCAGGAAGTGTCTGTTGCAGAGAGAAGTCCAGAGTCAGTACCAGAAACTGAAGCAAGAGAGGAGAGAGGCCAAGAGGCAGAGATGAGTCAGACTGGTGAAGAAGCCAGGGTGTCTCCTGTGACCAGTTCCCCTCCCTGCTGGTCTCCCAAGATGAGAAGAGGGATGAAGAGGGAGGAGCAGAGACAGGTGTGCTGGCATAGTCTCAGATTGCTTGGAAAGGACCTGGTGGCAGAGGGAATTTTGGCAGCTGTGGAAGGTGGGGACCTTCAGCCTCCACAACTGCCTAATAGAGGCAAGACCTATGAGAAGGGTTGCTGTGCTCATTAGGCCTGGCTCCCCTGAGCTGGCCTGCTTTCTGTTACTAAAGAGTTAACTTCACATACTCTGTGGATTTCTGGCTGACTGGCTCCCTGTCAGGTAGGACCCATACCAATGGATTCCAGTTACAAGAAAGGAAATTCCAACTCAACATCAGGAAGAACGTTCTGAGGGTAAGAGCTGTTTGACAGTGGAAGGGACTCCCTGGAAGGGTGGTGGACTGTTATTCCTGCATTACAGATTATTTCAGGGTTGCGAAGATCTGTTAAAGATCACTTTTTTGAAAAGCAATTTTGCTTGAGAGGAACAGGCAAAAAACCTAGCAGAGGAGCAGAGGATCTCCCTGCTTAGGCAAATTCTTCGCAGGAAAGCCTGTATTATAGGACTTTTAATTCTGTTTAAGCACACAGTAGAGATGGAATTTAGCCTTGCCATTTCTAAAGAATGAGGCATTACATCCTATCGGCTTTAGCCAACCTTGCAAGAATTCTTATGCCAAGAATTTGTTTGCAGTAACAAGTTCTAAAGGCATCCTTTTTCCTTTGTTATGCATTAGTTGCAAGCAACCCTAAGCAGAAATATTTGAGGCTTCCTACAGCACCAAGCTCTTGATCCGACCATGTCTCCATGCAGCTTTCAAAGTTAGTGCACATTTATGCTCCAGAAGAAGGACATGGCAGTCAGGAACAGGATAAACAGAAGCCACAGGGGTACTGACTGCAAAGGATCCAAGCATTTGGTTTGCCCCTCATATTTGAGCCTGAGCTGACTCCTTTGGGGTCCAGTCCAAGGAGGACTTACTGCAGCTCTTCCTAGACCAGACCAGAAAGAGAGGAAGCTGCCATATGCACAAAGGTATTTTTGTCAGCCATGTCAGTGAACAGGACCCTGCTGTCAAGTTAAAATTCAGAGGCCTGTCTTGGTTTGCCTCAGTGTCACGGTGAAATAGGTGGTGAACAATCAATAGGTGAGCGTGGAAGCCTGACGTGAACCAATCTACAGAAACTAGGCTATATCCTTGAATTGCTAGGGTCCTAAATCAAAATGCTGTCAGCTAAATTCAGACATTCCACATACCAATCATACTGTGCATGGACTAGGCCTCCGCAACCAAAATAACCAAAATAATGAACCTCAAGCTTAGGATTGAGGAACCAGCTGGTGGAGACCGTGGGCAGAACTTCCTGTGGCCTGGAGGAAAAACAGGAAGGGTCAGAGCTCAAATCTTATAATGTGGCTTAATAACCTACCCATAGGCATAACGCTAAACCTGTCACACATCAAGAGATCCTACAGGATCCCCACACGGCGCTCTCACCCCACACTGTGTCTCACCCAGAGACACCATCGCAAGTTTCAAGAGAACTTATACATTACGTTACGTTATGTTACATTTATATCCCACCTTTCCTTCAAAGAGCTCAAGGTGGGAGACATGGTTCTCCACTGCCCATTTTTTATCCTCACAACAACCCTGGGTGGTAGGTCAGGCGGTGAGGCAGTGACTGGCCCAAGGCCACCCAGTGAGCTCTGTGGCCAGTTGAGGATTTGAACCCTAGTCTCATGGGTCGTAGTCCAACACACTAACCACTGCAACACCCTGGCTCCCATGAGAGACACCATATATAAAGCTCTGCAAAATATCAAAGACCTAACTAGTGGAAATAATATCATCTCAATCTTCCAAGACATCAGCATGGACCTGCTTCAGAGACATTCCTTGCTTCATCCCTTCACTCCAGTACAGGCAACTCTCAGTGTGCATGGGGGCTACGTTTTGGGGATCGTGTCTAAAGCCAAAATCGTGTGTAGTCAAAACACATTAGGATTGCTAATGTCCCCTCCCCCTTAATTCCCCAACTGCATAAAGCTGAATGCACACAAATTAAAGTTGTGAGTTACTGTACTTCATGACAAAGGCATATCCTACCACTGGGGATTCCCTTTCAAATTGATTGCTCAGCATAGTAGAAGGACACTGGCTGCAAATAATACCACACAGGCAGAACACCTATTAATAAGATAGCAATTCCCTTACCATCCCTTGCAGCTGCAAACTCTGACTCTCAACAAAATGGTGGCACTCATTCCTGGAAAACAAGAAGGAGAAAACAAGCTTGTTTGCTCTTCCATGTGACAGCCCTATCTGAAAATGGCTATCATATCCAGAGCCATAGCTAGGTGATCTTGCACCCTGGCAGAATTGTCCAGATTGTGCCACTTACAAATTAGCTCTTCTTTCTGCCTCTTCTCCAACCCCCCCCCCTTCAATTCACCCTCTATTAGAAACCTTTTCTTATGAGGCAATCAATATTTTTATTTATGGACATATTTTAAAGCTGATTTTGCACCCACCCTCGCTTGCACCCTTGGCAGGGGCCCACCTCACCACCCCCTAGCTACAGCCCTGATCATATCTCCTCTCAGTCTCCTCTTTTCCAGGCTAAACATACCCATCTCCTTCAACTGTTCCTCATAAGGCTTGGTTTGCTTGATCATCTTGGTTGCCCTCCTCTGCAAACGTTCCACCTTGTCAACACCCTTCTTAAATTGTGGTGCCCAGAATCGGACACAGGACTCCAGGTGTAGTCTGACAAATGCAGAATAGAGTGGAACTATGACTTCCCTTGATCTGGACACTAGACTTCTGTTGATGCAGCCTAGAAGAGCATTATCCTTTTTTGCTGCTGCTTCACATTGTGGACTCATGTTCAGCTTGTAGTCCACTAAGACTCCTAGATCTTTTTCACATGTACTGCTAGTGAGCCCTGTGTCCCCCATCTGGGTCTTAGCTTCCAGAATTCCAGCATTATGTCCATGTCTGGCCATGGTACCCAGCAGCAAATGTGGAAAACATGAAGAGTGGGCACAGTCTTTAAACATGCAGCAGACATTGGAGGTGGCTGATTGAGAGCCCCAGTGTGTGCTCCACATTTTTCAGGGATACAGGTTGTGCTGTGGTCTAAACCACTGAGCATCTTGCTGATCAGAAGGTCGGTGGTTCGAATCTGCATGACAGGGTGAACTCCCATTGCTCTGCCCCAGCTCCTGTCAACCTAGCAGTTCGAAAGCACACCAGTGCAAGTAGATAAATAGGTACGGCTGCAGCGGGAAGGTCAACGGCATTTCTGTGTGCTCTGGATTCCATCACATCCCTCTGTGTTCCTGTAGCAGTTTAGTTCTGCTGGCCACATGACCTGGAAAGCTGTCTGTGAATGACGCCGGCTCCCTCGACGTGAAGGGAGATGAGTGCCACACCACATAGTGAAATTCGACTTTTTACCTTTACCCACATTTTGCCTTCACACTTTGTTTTTATTGAATGAAGCACCAAGTGTAAAACAGCTCTATGTTTGCAATTTAAAATCAATATTTGCCGTCCTTTGATTTTTGCACCTTTGATTTTCTGCAGAGTCTTCAACTTAAGCACTTTACAGTGGAACCTCAGTTGTCAAATGCTTCGGAAGTCGAACACTTCAGCTTTCAAATGCCGACAACCCGGGAGTGAATGCTTCCGTTTTCAAACGTGCCTCAGAAGTTGAATGGCTTCCGAGGCGCATTTCTCCATTTTTTCAATGGATTTTGCCGACCAGCAATAGCGCCTGGGTTGTCATACGTTTTGGAAGTCAAACAGTCTTTCGGAATGGATTATGTTCGACAACCGAGGTATTCTTTAGGAAGTTAAGCTAGTGACTGGCTTCCCCCTTCCCTCTTCTAACCATTTTCCCAAAGTGGTACTACTATTTTTATCCTCCTTTAGCTGCGTCTTGCATGGCGGAGTTTAGCTGACCCAAGGGCAGATGTCTGGCCTGCCAGGAAGTGCTGAATGAACATGATGATTAGGGGAGGACCACTAGTAAACACTCGTAGCATATTTGTCAATCAACAGGAAATTAATGGCATGATATATAGCAGGAATGAGGCACAAGCTTTCTGGCTTTTTGAACAGGTTAAGAAAGCAGGGCAAGAGTAATATGAAAAGGACATTGATTTGCAGCCCCGTGTTCTAACAGAGGCTTACCTACTTGCAGCAAAAAAGGGCTCATGCACAACGAATCATAGGAATGCAGCCTCAAGCCTCAAGGCCTGGAGAAGAGCCAGCTATAAAGGTTCCTTCCTTAAGTTGAGCCTATTCACTCAAACACAGAGGCCATTTAATGGATGTTAAATTTTGCAGAGTGACCATGTTGCAAAAGACCCAAAATAAATGTGACTTGCTATTTAAACTCCACAAATGTAGTTCACGTTTGTTTAAAGTGACAGTTCCCAGGCCTCTGAGGCAGGAATGGTTGGGAAATGGATTAATTGCCTTTGCAGGCTTGTGTGTATAATGCATCTGTTGACACATGCAAATAATGGGTACTATAGTATATTTTGGTGTATAACGCCTATATTAACATTCTCTAAGTGATAAAGGGGTCAACATTTTTTGAAATGCAGAAAAAGGCTCCAGGTTCATGAACACAGCATTGTTGGCTGCCACCCCAATCTCTGAGTGGTGGGAGATTCCAGAGGTTCCAGGCGTGTCCCCAGGGTTCGTATTTCCTTTCGGGAATGAGGCACAGCCGAGACTGTGATGTCTTTAAACTATATGGCTTATTTACACATATATACAACCTGAGCCTACAATGAAGGGGTTCACAGCATGAACACCCCGAGATGGTCTAGTTTCCCCCATAGCTGTAGCCTTGGATTCAAACACAAATCAAACGTTGGGCTATCTCTCTGCCTTTTCCAGCTTGCAACCTTCTCCCCAGGTCACATCACAGCCAACTCTCTACTCTGGCTTTTGCCTTCTCACTATCTAAGAGATGGAGGAGGTGCCCCGGCCATCTGTTGTCTGGAGCTCCCTCACCTTAGCTTCTTGATGGGCCACCCTCTTTCTTTTGTTTTCTTAGTGGCTCATCACCGTGGGTGATTCCCTCACCAGAAGGTTGGTCTGCCTTAGAGCAGTGTTTCCCAACCTTGTGCCTCCAGCTGTTTTTGAACTACAACTCCCATCATCCCTGACTAGCAAGACCAGTGGCAAGGGATGATGGGAATTGTAGTCCAAAAACAGCTGGAGGCACAAGGTTGGGAAACACTGCCTTAGAGTTTAACACTTACTGGACCCAGGAATTATAGGTGTCTGGTACCACAGAACTCATGACACTATATTATTTAGGACAGTTTGCTATGACAGATTATGTTTTAGTAACCCAATTACGGGGTTTGCAGGGAGGGTGAGTCAATGAAATAGTATAATAATAATTAGGTTCAAGAGCAGAAGTTCCTATCCAAGACTTACAAGAGGGTGTAAATATTCAGACAGCATGTACATAACCTATGGAGATCACTATCACCCAAGATGTGTTAGTAGATGCTAGGAGAGATAGCACTGAAATGGTTTAGATAAGATTTATAGAGGATAGGTCTATGTACAGATATTAAGCACAACACATTCTGGCATTGAATGACAGGTGCTGTAGTGCCAAATAATTAGGGGGAACTATTGCGTCATATTCTGCTGATGAGCTTCTGAGAGGCACCTGGGTTGTCATTGTTCTTTCATTATTTCCCTATTTACTTTATACAATTTATTACCTGCCCTTCACCATAAGGTCCCAGGGTGGGTTACAGCAATAGAATAAACAATTATAAAAACAGCCCAAACTATTGCAATTATAAATCAAGTAACGTTCAAACATATTATGAATAATAAGAATTCAGCGAAAGAGCTGGTCCGAAAACTATCCCATGATAATGCCTAGTGCACTTCTGAGTGTAGGGAAGTGTAGGATCGGATATTAGTCTTACAAGAAACATTTTGGTTTCTTTCACTTTCATTTCACTTCTCTTGCTTTCATGCTAAAAATCTATATTGGATTTAAACCAATGACTTTAGTAATGTCTCACAATGAATCCTGGGAATGGCAGTTTGGTGAGAGTGTTGAGAATTTTGTGAAGGGTTTCCTTGCTCCCAGGCACAGAACTGCATTTGTCCATGTTATTTGAGGAGTAACAATGGCCATGAAACAATTTACAAATGCACCAGAATATACTCTGTGATTAATATTGTGGGTGATTTCTATACACTGCCTCCCTCCCCACCAAGTTTCCCATCACAGAAGCCAATCCTGGCTTCTGTTTGGATCCCAGAATGTCCCATATTTTTGTCCAGCGCTTTTTTGCAAGTCCTTGTTGCAAAGCATCAGACCAAAAGGCGCTCCTTCTGGCAGAAGTCAGCAGGGACCAGAAGGCACTCTGGCCCAACCCTGTGGATAATTGCCTGGACCAGAAGGCACGCCCTTCCTGACATCCCAATTTTGGGGACAAAAATGTTGGAGGGTATGCCATAAATATTTCTCCACAAAGTTGAATTCTGTTTGTTGATCCCTTTGAGTGAATCCATTTATGAGCCACTTTCCCAATCCAGGCGTGCTCTATGTTATATCTACCCATTGCTAATTATTCCACTTGAAAATTTGCAGGAGACACAAAATTGTTCAGATCCCATTCGCTGTACAATGCCATGTGTTTAATCCCATATCGTCTATAGAATTTCTGAGAACAGAAAAAAGGAATTCAGTTACACCCATGTCATGAGATGGAAACAAGGCAGCTGGAGGGTGTTAAGAAGAAGAAGATTGTCCCATGATCTCTCCTTTCCAGAATGTTCTAGTCTGAAGCTTTAGTGGTGCATTTTCCCTTTCCATGCTGTACAGCATCAATAGATACTTATATTCCTTCTCAGTGTCAAGTCCTGCCCAGAATGAGAAACAGAACTGGATAGATTGACTAGAAGCAGAGTGCATAAAAAACCAGGAGTTAAGATGGGATCTGTTCTGATGTCAGGCTGTGAGCACGTCATGCAGAGGTAGCGAAGTAAAGTTGTGCATTCCTGGGAGATAATCAGAAGCAGCTCCAAACCAAAGCTTAAGAGAAAATGTACTTGCCAGTTATAGCAGATGCCTTCAAAGCATTCAGAAGAAAATTCAATGTTTTCAGGGAATTAATGCTGCTGGAATTTAGTAGGATAAATGTGATAAATGTGTATTGTTTGGGGCATATGAGAAAACACTGCAGTAGCTTATTCACTTATAAATGTGGAGAAAATGAATAGGGAGCACTATAAATTTTGGTCATCCAGTGAAATTAGTTGTTAGCATATTGAAGACAGACTAAATTCTTTGTCATAGAATCTGCAATTAACACCTGGAATTTACCATCCACAAAATGCAGGAATCAAACCAAATGAGGGAGAATAGTTGTTATGTATTTGATCAAAAGCATCCAGGACTGGACTGTATTAGATGCAATTTGCTAGTTTTGTTGAACAGCTGCCCTGAGCCAAAATAGCTATTCATTTATTGTTTTCAGGTGAATTTCTAACTATAGCTATAATCATTGCTTTGCCTATTTGCTTCTTTATTGCAATTATTTATATATATCCCTCCAAGTAACATAAGCCACCCTAGGATAGACCTTACAATTTAATAGTTTCACTCAACTACGTGTTAATACTCTTAATGACTCTTCTATCTACTCTAGCATTCAGTACTGTATTAATAGGGACGCGGGTGGCATTGTGGTCTAAACCACTGAGCCTCTTGGACTTGCCAATCAGGTCAGTGGTTCGAATCCATTCAATGGGGTGAGCTCCCATTGCTCTGTCCCAGATTCTGCCAACCTAGCAGTTCAAAAGCACACCAGTGCAAGTGATAAATAGGTACAGCTGCGGCAGGAAGGTAAATACAGATTTTGGGACAAAGAAGCAATGGCTACTCCCCAGTTTGGAAAACATAAAGCACAACCATTACCCAGATCTGAGCCACAACTTAAGTGAAACATAACAGAGAGCAGAAGTAGAAAGTACCATGACGGTATTAATAATACAAGTAAAGACAGATATTAATACAGTAAGGTAAAGGTAAAGGACCCCTGGACGATTAAGTCCAGTCAAAGGTGACTATGGGTCTGTGGTGCTCATCTCACTTTCAGGCTGAGGGAGCTGGTGTTTGTCCGCAGACAGCTTTCCCGGTCATGTGGCCAGCATGACTAAACCACTTCCTGCGCAACGGGACACACAGAAATGCCGTTTGTAGCACCTAGCAGATACTTAGTGAATTGAAAGTGTCAATCTTTTAAGTTTGCAGCTGGTTTTGTTCCCATTTCATTTGTGTAGTCAACCCTAACAAATACAAATCTTGCTGCTTTCTCTCTGTAAATTCAGGTTTAACTGATACAAAGAGAATCTGATAAGGTAGGGGAAATCATGCTCCAAACAACAGCACTTGGTGTCACACACAATATTGTGATGAGTTTGGGGGATTCCTTTATTTGAAGAAGCCAGGGAGGTTTCTTGGTAAGTTAATAGACCCTACATATGGGTCTTTAGTAGAAGAAAGTTGTTCTGTGCTGGAGGGCAAATGGGTGGGATCCCTACTGTCTGAAAGTGAGAAGGACAATAGCCAGTAGTGTGTGTGTGTGTGTGTGTGTGTGTGTGTGTGTGTGAGAGAGAGAGAGAGAGAGAGAGAGAGTGTGTGTGTGTGCTGGGCTAGAAGCAGGCAGAAATCAGAGAGGGAATCCAAGGCTATGGCTAGGAGAGAAGCAAGTCCCTCTTGGGGTGTGAATGCTGTGCGTAGGCTCAGGTTGTAGTTTTGTGTAAATAAACCATATAGACTAAAGACACCACAGTCTCCACTGTTAATGTTAATAATAATAATAATAATTAATAATAATAATACAATTTCCTCAGTGCTTTCATTTCTTTCCTGGCTGTGCTCATAACTATTGCTGGTGTGCTCCTGAATGAATATATATTTCTCTCTCTTTTGAATTTTAAGACCAAGCCTGTCAGTTAGCTTATTCAGTTAAAGTCAGTTCAACTAGTAATCTGGAACTTCATGCTGAAGGAGTCAAATGCATTGTGTGAAGGAAATATGGGGGGTATTATGCGATATTTGAGGGCTCCATGTCCTTCACCGGTCTCACTTGAGGCAGCTGAGGAATGGAAGAGGGAGCGGGGAGATATACTGAAAGGAAAAAGGTGTCTGTTTTAAACCATGGCTGAAGTTTGAGTAAAGCAGGGAGAGGCCAAAGTCGCCTACTCCTGCGGATTCAATGTGCAGGGTTCAACTACGCCAGTCATAGGAGCCAACTCCTAGGGGCTGAGGGGGCTTCGCCCCCCCCAATAAAATATTGGGGGGGGGATTGCCATTCAAATGGTGTGCGCACACCATGGCATGTGATCAATTGTGAAGGGTGGGGCTTACCTGCCCCTCCCATATTTTTTCAAGTTTGCACCCCTGACTCCAATTTTCATTTGAATGGGGAAAACATGGATTAACAGCTAACTGATGCTCAAATGTGGGCAGCCAACCCTGAATGTCAACACTGACCTTATCACTACAATAGCCACCCTAATTTTTGTATTCTTTTTGTGCTTTATTTTCCTTCAACCCCATGGCTTCTTGCTTTGTGTAACACCTTGGCCAATGAAAAATTCTGAAGACCTCAAAAGCTTACAACAGTTTTGTGATGTCTTGGTTGGTCATAATAAAGTCCATACAGGGATCAAGTTCTGTCCCAGCTAACACACCATGACTCTGTAGTAAAATTTTTTGCCCAACTGTGGCTTTTGGAATAATAACAATAGACTCACATATGAGATATTGCACAAATCACTATATGCCACTCTCACCCTCTTCACCTTGTTCCCTTAATTCCAGACAAAACCCCAATAGATTACAACCAAAGAAATTTAAATCAGGCTCCATGCGGTGGACTTTTAAACCTGCTTTGAAAATTAGGTTAGCAAAAACCTAAAAAGGAAGAAAAATGGTCCAAGTGAAGCTTAACAGGTCTGATTTCAATAATGTCAAACCCTGAATTTTATGTAGCATGTGTAGGGAGGGGGGATTAAGAAGAAAACAGAACAGAATGAAATGAAATTGAGATGAAGGGAAAGCGAGACTATGAATTCATGACTTTTAAAAATTATGTCTCTCTTTCCCATCCCCCAGTGCAGGAGACTCTATAGCAAAATATAATGAATCAGCATTTGTTCCCCATTCATTTCTCAGGCAAGGGAAAGCAGCGGAGGGCAACATTCAGAATGAGGTCTGGTTAAGTTTCATGTAAGGGAATTCCTGTGTGAATGGCCTTTGTGTTGGCTTCACACCTGCTGAGCTAGGAGAAGCATAAGAGCTCCTTTCATTGCTCTAGTTAAAGCCTGTCACAAGGATGACATCATTGCTCCCACAGACATTTTAATGTGGGGCTCTGGAGCCAGCCTTTCAAAATGCTTGACAGATCAGAATTTGAACATCTTAAAAACAAAAAAGCAAACCCAATTGTGTTTGGCTAGCGTGCAAGAGCCAGCACAGTTAAGTTACAGGGCTGGTTTGGGGAATTGTGCTTCGAGAGGGCAGGGGCTAAACAAACTTTCCCATGTTGTTTTTAGACAGTGATGGGGTCCGTGGTGAAAAGTGGCTTTTATGCTCGCCTGAGTCTTGGTTAAATATCTCAGATACCACTAGAGCTTGAGTCTCAATGACAGGGAATGCCTGACTTTGGCTTGTTCTCAAATCCTCAGACAAAGGACACCACAGATGGCCATAGTGGGTGTGAGTAGATAGATTAAGCAAAGAAAGAAAAAAATCATTAAGTGAGACTTATGAATACAGCAGAGGGTTTTATTACCGCATGCCTTGAGAGGTCTTTGTTCACTGTTGTGTCTGCAAATATGAAAATCAGGAGGAAGATTTGGAGGATGGCACGAAAACATTCACACATTTCTCTTGAATTTCAGGTGAGGCTTCAGCCATGCATTCAATTTTATGCATGCTGGCAATATGAGGTTTTGAAAAAACTAGCACTTTTAAAGTCAATTTGGAAGTGATTTAAGCAACAGCCAAAATGACATGTGGAGAAAGATGAAATTTAGGGGCGGCGGGGAGTATATGAAACATTTGACCCTGCTATCCTTGCAAAGTGGCAAGTTGTGCTACAAATGAAAATCTGCTGTCCCAAATTTGAAAATTATCGAGAGGAGAGAAAATTTCTGAGGAATTCTCATGGTTTTTGTTGCGTTTAACTTTTTGTGAGCCTCCTTCCTTTCATCCTCTGAGTCATCTCTCTTGTAGTCTGCATTCTACAGCCTCACCATCTGCTCACAAATCCTGAAAACTCCATGACGTTGGAAGGTAGGAATACTGCCTGCAATGTGCTTGCCAGCTGTTCATTGTTGATTTTTAAAGTGAAGTATTCTTAGTTTGAAATAAATCAATAGAAAAGTTTTTTTGTTTGATTTTTTAAAATTCCCTTCAAAACAAAATTGGTGACTGCACGGGTGTCAAGCACTTGATTCCAGCCTCCTTCACTTCCTGAACTTCCACTAAAGTCCAGACGATGGCATCATGGAAGCATGCACAGCCTGCAGAGGATTGGCAAAAAGTTTAATGGAAAGAAAAATATGCAGTCCACTCTTGGTCATCTCATAACTTTAAGGTGAGCTTATCCCTGGACCCACTGAATTTCTGAATAAATGATAGAGCACCCTACAAGGAAGGCAGAAAAATGGAAGCTTTCTTCATGGGTGAAGACCACTCTCAAGAAATCAGAGGACAGGTTTCAGCACAGCACTATAACATGCAGGAAAAAAACCATTGCAGAGTAAGAGTAATGCACACCAATTGTGATTATTAATATCACAGAATTGTAGAGTTGGAAGGGAACCCAAGGGTCCAACCCCCTGCAATGCAGGAATCACAGCTAGATCATCTGTGAGATTCCTTACTGGTCTACAGGGCTTTGCAATCCCATGGTACAGAAATTCAATTCAGAGGCATATATGCATTGGCGAGCCAACTTTTGCCATCTTTCCGTCTCTTCTGAAGGACAAGATTTGCACAAAACAACATCATTTTTTATATATATATATGCTGCCCATCTGACTAGTTGCCCCAGCCACTCTGGGTGGCTCCCAACAAAATATTAAAAATAATAAAACATCAACCATTAAAAACTTCCCTGTACAGGGCTGCCTTCACATGTCTTCTAAAGGTTGTATGGTTACTTATCTCCTTGACATCTGATGAGAGGGTCTTCCACAGGGTGGGCCCACTGCCGAGAAGGCTCCTGCCTGGTTCCCTATAGCTTCACTTCTTGCAATGGGGAAATCACCAGAAGGCCCTCGGAGCTGGACCTCAGTGTCCGGGCTGAACGATGGAGGTGGAGATGCTTCTTCAGGTACACAGGGCATAGGCCATTTGGGGCTTTAAAGGTCACCACCAACACTTTGAATTGTGCTCAGAAACATACTGGAAGCCAATGTAGACCATAGATCCTTTAGGACTAGTGTTATATGGTCCTGGTGGCTGCTCCCAGTCACCAGTCTAGCTTCCACATTGTGGATTAGTTGTAGTTTCCAAGTCACCTTCAAAGGTAGCCCCACGTAGAGCGCACTGCAATAGTCCAAGTGGGAGATAACTAGAGCATGCACTACTCTGGTGAGACAGTTTGTGGGCAGGTAGAGTCTCAGCCATTATACCAAGTGGAGCTGGTAGACAGCTGCCTTGGACACAGAATTGGCCTGTGCCTCCATTGACAGCTGTGAGTCCAAAATGACGCCCAGGTAGTGCACCTGCTCCTTCAGGGGCATGGTTACCCCATTCAGGAACAGAGAGCCCCCCCCCCCCGCACACCCTGTCCCCCAGAAACTTCTGTCTTTAGGGATTCAATTCAACCTCAGTCCGTTAACCACCCTCCACCCACCTCCAGACACTCACATAGGACATTCACTGTCTTCACTGGTTCTGATTTAAAGGAGAGGTAGAGCTGGGTATCATCCACATACGGGTGAACACACAGCCGAATCCTCCTGATGATCTCTTCTAGTGGTTTCACTAGGAGAAACAGTTTAATAACCACTAGTTCAAAGGGGTCTGGGAAGACTCCCTCATAGAGGGAAGCAATCACCACCCCAGAGCCCATTGCCTAGCCTGGCTCACTTTTATGAGCCAGGATGGGCAAGGATAAAGGAGACAGGTGGTCAGTTTTACTTGTTTAAGCATCCTGTCCGTATTCTCGGAGGCAACAGGTTTAAATTGAACCCATGTAACTTGACTAGCAGAGCTCTGGCACTCACCTGCCCAGGCCTTGCTACAATGGTAGAGTCTACCTCTTTCTGAATCTGAGCGATTTTATCTGCAAAAAAACTTTGTTACAGGAGATCTTGGAGTCTTCTTGGACCCTGATGGCAACAGTGGTTCTGTTAAACTACAAACCACCTGAAAGAGTCTCCTGATGCTGTTTTCCGCAGATGCAACAGAGGCAGTGAGGAAGGTCCTCTTCACTTTTGCTATCACCACTTGGTAGGCTTGACATTGAGCTCTAACCCCGGTTTGGTCTGATTCAGAATGAGTTTTTCACCACCAGCGCTCTAGCTTTCTCAGCGATTGTTTCATTGCCCTCAGCTCTGGAGAAAATCATAGCACCGTCCAGGTTCTATGCAATTGGAGAGGGCGCTTTGGAGCCAGACAGTTGTTAGCCTTGATTAACTCAGCATTCTAGCGGGCCACCAGTGAATCAGCTGAGAGGCCATCAACATGGGATAAGACATCCCCTATAGAAGCTATTGTGGATCCATTAAGTGGCAAGGGCACACCATTCAAATCAGTCCCACCTCCATACAGAGGGGAGGGGTTACAGAGAAGTCTGGTTGCACCAGGAAGTGATCTCACCATGGCAATTATTTTGTTCTGTTATTTTGTCAGCAGAGGTAAACACCAGATCTAAGGCATGTTCATGGCTATGAGTAAGGTCAGATTTATTCAGGGACAGCCCCACGGACACAATGCTTTACTCAAAGCCTTGAGCAGGCCCTTTTAAGGTAATGTTGGCATGTGGAAACAAGAAGAAATACCAACTAAAGAAGAGTGGCAAGAGAAACTGATGAACTATGCTGAGATGGTGAGACTAACAGGGAAAATTCGGAACCAGCAGGACCAGACTTTCCTAAAGGAATGGAATAAGTGTTTGATATATTTGGAAAGCAATTGTAATCAATTGAATTTGTTTGTAGGGTTAAAAGAAGTTTTGTAAGGAGAAATTTATAAATTATTGTGAAAAGAATTAAGAATAGATGTATTGGAAATTTGAGTTTATAACAATAATTATAGTAACAAAATGCATAATTAGAAAGACTTTAGAAAACCACCAGTTGAGGTTGAAGGAAGGCTGTGATAGCCAAAAATTTCAAAATGACGATTAAAAGGATGTTATGCTGGAAAATATATGTAAAAATTAATAAAAATTGTTATTTTTTTTAAAAAAAGGTAATGTTGGCATGGATGCTAAAATCCTAGAATTTCTAGGATGTTGATACGTTCATTCACTATGCTCAGTTTAGATTTCCCTTCCTAAAGTGGTGACTCCCTTCTATAGATATCTTCTCAAGTGCAAAGAAAGGTTGTCTCCCTTGTCCAGTCTATGCAGGGTCTGTCTTGTACAACTCTTGTCTTGAAGATCAGGGAGGGACCAGCTGCAGTGGTAATTCTCAAGCTGACCATATATTCATATATTCAATGGATACTTGGCTTGGTGACTTGTCTCCCCGCTCCTCCCGATGGATTCTTAATCTTGTTTGAGTTAATGAGTAGACTGGGTATGTAAAAAAAAGTAGAGTGGGTATGTAAAAAAAAGTTGAGAATCCCACAGAAATCAATGAGCCCGACAGCACTTCTTACTGAGAAGTGTCTCCAGAAGAACATCTGACGTGACCTAAAGTAACTCAGGCAGGGTATCCTTGATGCAGTGGGGAAGTTGGAACACAAGTTGGAATCCTGTACTGCCCCTATTGCTCAACTTCCAGAACATGCACTCAGAAAACTGGGTCTCCCTAATAAGACACCTGGTGAAAACTAAGGACTTCCTAAAAATCACTGCAACCCCCCTCCCCACCCACATGACCTGGATTGCTGTGCACAAAAGAAACCTGGTGGACAAGCAGCGGCAAGAACAGGCCCATCTGTCTCATCCAACCAAGTCTCTGTTACACATGCCAGGTCAAGTTCTCAATCCATGATCAAGTCATGGATGGCAGCGGTCGTATGAATCATTGACCTGGCATTGCACAGCAGCACCTTCAGGTCATGTGGGTCACTCTTGTTGATTCCAGCATCCTTCTGGTCAGGACCAGCCCCAGAGGCAGGGATAGCCTTCAAACAATGACTAAACCTTCCTCCTTGGTAATGATGTGGTCTGGTCCTAGCATATAAATTTTCATATGGAATGACAGTTTCATAGAAAGACAAACTGAGGACGATTGCAGAAGGTCCAGTAATCTGAAGGATAGTTACATGACTTGTCCTTAGCTGCCCCCCTTCCATTTGCTTCCAGCCTATCTCTCCAGGAAGCTCAGGAAGAAGAGACATGCAATGCATTCCTGTGCTTCTTACTCACAAATGAGCCCTGCTGTGTTCAGTTGAGTTTGCTCACCAGTTAGTGTGTTTCAGAGTGCTTACAAAGCTGAAGCATACCATAGTACCTATTCATACATCTTAGGTATCTTTGCCTACTGAAGCCAGAAATTGGTTACCTGCAAAGTGTCAAAATTGTTTGCTGCTTCTGCATTAACCCACTGCTCCCCAATGTACTGTAACAAACTTGACTTGCCCTTGTCCTAATGGTATACATTTGCCATGTTCAAACAGCTCATGCATGAGGGAGTGTGCAGCTGAGGTGGAGGGATTACAGGGTCATGGATGTAGGTCTCCTTCTAGTCTAGTGGAGATAAGTGGAATCTACATGGGGAGCCTATGCACATGCTCAGGAACACCATTTTTGGCCACCTACTATACAGGCGAACTAATATCAGTGGAAGAAGCAAAGATCACCAGTGTTGAAGCAATGATTCTTCAACATCAACTTCGTTGGACTGGTCATGTTGTGCAGATACCTGATCATCGTCTTCCAAAGCAACTACTCTATTCCGAACTTAAAAATGGAAAGCGTAATGCTGGTGGTCAACAAAAGAGGTTTAAAGACTCTGTCAAGGCAAATCTTAAAAAATGTAGTATAATCACTGGTAACTGGGCAACACTGGCCTGCGAGTGCTCCAATTGGAGAACAGCCTTTACCAAAGGCTTTGAAGACACACAACTCAGGAAGAAATGACATGCTAGGAGGAAGGCACGCTTGGCAAACCCTCACTTTGATCAACCCCTGCCCAGAAACCTATGCCCCCACTGTGGAAGGATGTGTGGATCCAGAATTGGCCTCCACAGTCACTTGCAGATTCACTGTTAAAACCGTGTTTGTGGAAGACAATCTTACTCGGCTACAAGGGATCGCCAAAGAAGAAGTGACAATTTACACACCCTTGGTTTCATGAAGCATTTAGAGCAACCAGCTTCATCTGGTTGCTTTTGAATCTCCACTTCCCAGGTCCAGCTATTTCCGTTAAAAAAACCCAGTTATCTGCTTCACATATAAAAGATTGAAGTGTGTTGACATCATTGGAGCCTAACAGAACATTTCAAGTACGATGGACTCTCCAGTGCTCTCTCCTGTAGCTGCAAATTACTATGGATATAAAAGTAAATGGAATATGATGATATACGTGACAGCCAGACAGAAAACATTATGCAATATTCAATACTCAATGCAATTTCATAAACAGAGGGAGATCAATGCACACAAAATGTAATCAAATCATAAAGATGTGTTTGCCTGAATGATGGATAGTGCATCTATCTTGCTCTATTCAAATATTAAACCAAATATTAAACTGAAGAAAGGTGCATACTTGAGTGGCCTGCTTTAAAGGGAGGCATTAATGGCCCTTAGCATCTTCAAAGGAATGTGATAACATAAGACCATTGATTTCTCAACAATAACAGCAACATTCAGTTCCTGGAGATGCTTTGCACCTTCCTTCTTGACATTTTTTTTAAAAAGATATTTATTAAAGTTTTTTAAACAATAAAACAAACTTCACATTCACAACCAAAAAGAAAAAACACCATCACAATCAGTCAAAAAAACCAAAAAAGAAAAAAAGTACAATAAAAACGAAACCCCCCATACAAAGTAGAAGAAAAAAGACATGGAAAAATGAGGGGGAAAAAGAACATAAAAAACCAATTCCTTAGATATTATTTTCATAACCCTCCTTCCAGACTTCCTCACATCTCCCTTTTCTGTGTTCCCCTTTACAAATTCTTGTTCAGCAATACTTCGCCCTCTTTCCAATCATATTTTGTATTTGTACATTTCACCCATTATATCTCCAGTTTTTCCCTTTATTATCAATTGTTTAATTTGGACATAACGTTATTCTAGCTTCACCTTTGTCCTTATTCTTTTTACATACTCCTTTCAGCTATGTCACTAGTGCCCTATTATCTTTATATCCTGCATCATTCTAACATTCATACAGTTTACAATACTTTTGCAAATAGTCTTTAAATTTCTTCCAGTCCTCTTCCACTAGCTCTTCTCCCAGGTCTCGGATTCTGCCAGTCATTTCTGCCAATTCCATATAGTCTACACCTTCCTTCTTGACATTTGAACCCGCTATTGGTCTTGCCAGCTCAATCCACCAGGGCCTGTCTTCATATGCAGGGGAAGTCCTTAACTCCCTGAGGGTTTGAGATCCATCAGCCACCTTCACCTGGTTACATACAGGCCACCATGAAAATGTTAACCCTTCAGCTGAGGAAACAGAACAAAACAATATTATGCAGGCCACCCACCTCATCTCTCAGCAGCAGCATAAGCAATCACTCCCCCCACTCATCTCACAACCAGGGGTTATAAATGCTCTGGGACATCTCAGTCTCTTATACTGGGAACCCCAAAAGCATAACCTCAAGGTTTCCATATGAACCTACTCGGACCCTGAGATCAACTTCTGAGGTCCTCCTTTGTGTGCCCCCTCCTTGAGAGGTCTGGAGGGTGACAACACAAGAACGGGACTTCTCTGCAGTGGCTCCCCATCTGTGGAATGCTCTCCCCAGGGAAGTCCGCCTGGTGCCTTCATTATACATCTTTAGGCACCAGGCAAAAATGTTCCTTTTTAACCAGGCTAGTGGTTGATCCGATTCACATCATATGCCCTTTTAAAATGTGGTTTTTTTGGGGGGGGCTGTTGGGTTGTTGTTTTTATTTTTATTATGTATTTTGTGGTATTGTATCTTGATTTTATTCTGTGAACTGCCCTCAGACCCCTGAGTATAGGGTGGTGTATAAATTCAATGAACAACAACAACAACCCTAGGTATGGAATACATACATTCAGTCTCTGACACACCTGGAATACTTGCTGCACACAATGAACATTAGTGTGTGTGGGGGGGGCACTAGAGTGCTGCGCTTGGGAATGGGGGAGCATTCAAATCTGTGATCCTTCCACCTGGAGCCTGAAGTACAGTCCAGGGAATATTAGTTGCGGTTCAGTTATTCTTTTTTTTTTACAGGAAACCTACCATAGAGGATTCTCGTTTTGGCCACTTCCAGAAACATTTCCAGGCTACGTGAGCTGTAAAAGAATTTGGCAGCTCTGCATTCTAAGCAACAGCAGAATGAGAAGTCCGTTTCCCAATAGGACATTTTGCTTGGACCCAGCCCAAAGACGTAGATTCCACTCCAACATCTCTCTTTCCATTGGAAAAGTTCATACTCAGACAATGTGGCTGAGACCCATGCCTAATTGAAACTGTCCAAGCTCAGTTGTTTACATTTTCTTTTGAGTAAGGGAGCATGTGTTGCAAGACACCCCCCTCCCCAGAACTTGCGGGGGGGGGTAAGGGGGAGGGAGAAAAACACTAAAAAGGCACAAAACAAAACTTTCAAGATGCTGATATTTAGTGGAATCCATTTGGTTAGCAATGATCGGTTGCTAAAACATTTGCAGAGAAAAGACATTGTGTGTGGATGTGGATTAACTTTTCTGTATCAACAATCATGCCCTCTTATTCTGAAAGGCACATTATGGAAGGAAATGTAGTCTATGAAGCAGCTGTTTTAAATAAGAGCTATTTCAAGGGTGTACATTCAGGTCATGGTATCACAGCTGTTCAGCTGCAGCTGCAAACAGTTCTGTGACATGGAAAAGGAGGAGAAAACTCACAGAAGGAATGTTAAAAGAAGTACTTTCCTTTCATACCTGAATTAATAGAGCAAAAATAAATTTGAATATTCAGAAATAAAAGCCTTCATTGGGCTTTGTACTATTAGATTTGCAAACATTTCTTTGATATTAGCAGTTGTATTTGAAATGCAATTCTCTGAGCTTCATCATCTGTTGGGGGAAGAGGAGAGTTTATGTGTGTGTTTTTAAATAGTCTTTTATAAGCACTCAGCAGGCAGAAACCCACCATTAAAATAATTAAAATGAATTAGCATTCATAGCATACAAAGATTAATGCAGACAACCAGCTACAAAGTGGTGACTTGACCGTTGTATTTATGTAATCACATAGCAAGTTGTGGAGTCAGCTGCCCATCTTAGCATAGATCTGGACTTGCCTGGTAAAGCCCTTGTACACCACCTCAGAGTTTTACTACCAGAAATCTGTGTATATGTTTTATAAACTAAGATCAATAAAAGTCCTCCTTACCACTTGCAGGGTAATGGAGCAAAAGCAGCCCTACCAAGTGCTGAAGAGAATTTCTTTATAAATCCACACTGGGTTTGAAATTTAAGGAAGCAGAGTAGCAGCATAATATAATTCTCTCTACCTAGCAAGATGCTATAGTCGAGCTGAAGAAGTGGTCATAGCCATATGTAGTTACAGAAATTTTTGTTTGTTTGTTTGTTTAAGGAGAGAAGATGGACAGGAGCCTGTCAGTCACTGGAAATGTATTGATATTATTGAGGGTGACAGGACAAACTTTGGAGGCTCTAGTCCAGAGGCTTTGGGACGTTCAAAATCCTGGCATGGAGATGCCCCACTTTGCCCACAAGAGGAGCCGCCCCCTGCCCATGGGAACACCAATGCAGGAGCAGAGTTTGACAGAGCTAGCAGCCAAGTTTACCTGCTTCACCTTGCACAACCATTTTTTTTTAAAAAAACAGGAATTTCTTGTTTAGTGCTACTCCAATCTCCAAGCAATGCAAGATTCCAGGGGTTCCAGGCACTTACTCAGGGTTCAGTTACCTTGGAAGGAGGGACAACAGAGACGGTGGTGTCTCTGTTTACTTATACAAATATACTACCTTAGCTTACCATGGAGGGCCTCACAGGATCTTGCTTCCCCCATAGTCACATCCTTAGGCTATGATGAATAAGCCCTGTGATACTACTTTAAACAGCCATGGCTGCCCCGAAAGAATGACTCTTAACTTTGTTAAGGGAACTCAGTTGTTAAGAGACCTCCTATTTCCTTCACAGAAACAGGTCCCCCCCCCCCACAGCTGGAACTCACTGGAACTCTTGAGAGTTCTTAAGAAGCCATTGCTGCTTCAAGTGGTGTCATACTACTTTAAATGTATGTTTGAATATGTGGATTCAGATTCAGTCATCAGCAGGAAAACAGTGCCCAGCCTGGTGATAATACAATGAATGATGCAAAGAGAAGCTGCAGCCCAAGGCAGGAAAAGAGGTGGCAAAGGAACATCTGGGGATTTAAATGATTTCAAATGAATGCACAATTCCAGGGCCCGATGAGCTGCACCCAAGGGTACTTGCAGATGTAATCTCAGAGCCTCTGCCTATAATCTTTGTGCTTTTTTTTGAGAACAGGGGAGGTCCCTGCAGACTGGAGGTGGGCAAATGTTGTCCCCATCTTCAAAAGGGGGGGGGGAGACCCAGGTAACTTGACCAGTGAGCTTGACATCGAAACCAGGAAAGGTCCTAGAACAGATAATTCAACAGTCACTCTGTTAGCACTTAGAAAAGGATGCTGTGATTACTAAGACCCAGCATGGGTGTCTCAAAAATAAATCATGCCAGACGAACCTCATTTCTTTTTTTAATGGAGTTACAAAATTGGTGGATAACAGGAATGCTGTAGACATAGTGTATCTTGACTTCAGCAAGGCTTTTGACAAAGTCCCCTATGATACTCTTGCAGAGAAGCTGGTAAAATGTGGTCTGGACTCTAGACAATGTTACTGTTTCATGGATTTGTAGCTGTTTGACTGAGGGAACCCAAAGACTGTTCACTCATAGCTTCTCATGTGGGGTGCTGCAGGGTTCTGACACCAAACTGGGAGGGGGAGCTAATACCTCAGAATCAGGACTAAAGATGACCTTAAGAGATTGGAGAATGGGGCCAAAACTTGAAAATAAATTTCAGTAGGGACATATGTAAGATTCTACACTTAGGCAGGAATAACCTGATGCACAGATATGAGATGGGAGACACCTGGCTTGCCAGTAGTACACACTTCAATGCTTCTGAAGAAATTAGAAAAACCACTCATATACCTGCTTTTTCAGTGATGTTGCCAAGACAAATCCCTGAGCCAACAGTATGAGAAAATAATTATCTCCAAGTATATATTGCCTAAGTCTCGTAGTTGTTGTTCTCTTTGACATCTGGTGGGAGGGCGTACCACAGGGAGGGTGCCACTACCGAGAAGGCCCTCTGCGTGGTTCCCTGTAACTTGGCTTCTCGCAGTGAGGGAACCGCCAGAAGGCCCTCGAAGCTGGACCTCAGTGTCCGCGTAGAACGATAGGGGTGGAGACGCTCCTTCAGATATACTGGGTTGAGGCCGTTTAGGGCTTTAAAGGTCAGCACCAACACTTTGAATTGTGCTCGGAAACATACTGGGAGCCAATGTAGGTCTTTCAAGACCAGTGTTATGTGGTCTCGGTGGCTGTTCCCAGTCACCAGTCTAGCTGCTGAGTTCTGGATTAGTTGTAGTTTCCGGGTCACCTTCAAAGGTAGCCCCACGTAGAGCGCATTGCAGTAGTCCAAGCAGGAGATAACCAGAGCATGCACCACTCTGGCGAGACAGTCCGTGGGCAGATAGGGTCTCAGCCTGCGTACCAGATGGAGCTGGTAAACAGCTGCCCTGGACAAAGATTTGACCTGTGCCTCCATGGCCAGCAGTGAGTCCAAAAAGACTCCCAGGCTGCGCACCTGGTCCTTCAGGGGCACAGTTACCCCATTCAGGACCAGGGAGTCCTCCACACTCGCCCGCCTCCTGTCCCCCCAAAACAGTACTTCTGTCTTGTCAGGATTCAACCTCAACCTGTTAGCCGCCATCCATCCTCCAACCGCCTCCAGACATTCACACAGGACCTTCACCGCCTTCACTGGTTCTGATTTAAAACAGAGGTAGAGCTGGGTATCATCCGCTTACTGATGAACACCCAGCCCAAACCCCCATGATCTCTCCCAGCGGCTTCATAAAGATATTAAAAAGCATGGGGGAGAGGACAGAACCCTGAGGCACCCCACAAGTGAGGGCCCAGGGTCTGAACACTCATCCCCCCCCCCACTTTCTGAACATGGCCCAGGAGGAAGGAGCGGAACCACTGTATGACAGTGCCCCCAGCTCCCAGCCCCTCAAGACGGTCCAGAAGGATGTTATGGTTGATGGTATCAAACGCCACTGAGAGATCCAGTAGAACTAGGAAACAGTTCTCACCTTTGTCCCTAGCCCGCCGGAGATCATCGACCAGTGCAACCAAGGCAGTTTCAGTCCCATGATGAGGCCTGAATCCCAACTGGAAGGGATCCAAATGGTCCGCTTCTTCCAGGTGTGCCTGGAGTTGTTCAGCAACCACTCGCTCAATCATAGAATCATAGAATCATAGAATCATAGAGTTGGAAGAGACCACAAGGGCCATCGAGTCCAACCCCCTGCCAAGCAGGAAACACCATCAGAGCACTCCTGACATATGGTTGTCAAGCCTCTGCTTAAAGACCTCCAAAGAAGGAGACTCCACCACACTCCTTGGCAGCAAATTCCACTGTCGAACAGCTCTTACTGTCAGGAAGTTCTTCCTAATGTTTAGGTGGAATCTTCTTTCTTGTAGTTTGGATCCATTGCTCCGTGTCCGCTTCTCTGGAGCAGCAGAAACAGCCTTTCTCCCTCCTCTATGTGACATCCTTTTATATATTTGTACATGGCTATCATATCACCCCGTAACCTCCTCTTCTCCAGGCTAAACATGCCCAGCTCCCTTAGCCGTTCCTCATAAGGCATCGTTTCCAGGCCTTTGACCATTTTGGTTGCCCTCCTCTGGACACGTTCGAGTTTGTCAGTGTCCTTCTTGAACTGTGGTGCCCAGAACTGGACACAGTACTCCAGGTGAGGTCTGACCAGAGCAGAATACAGTGGCACTATTACTTCCCTTGATCTAGATGCTATACTCCTATTGATGAGGCCCAGAATTGCATTGGCTTTTTTAGCTGCCGCGTCACATTGTTGGCTCATGTCAAGTTTGTGGTCAACCAAGACTCCTAGATCCTTTTCACATGTACTGCTCTCAAGCCAGGTGTCCCCCATCTTGTATTTGTGCCTCTCATTTTTTTTGCCCAAGAATGGAAGATTTGAGACTGAGCGATAGTTGGCCATTGTGGCCGCATCTAAAGATGTTTTTTTAAGAAGCGGTTTAATAACCGCCTTTTTCAGCGGGTCTGGGAAGGCTCCCTCACGGAGGGAAGCATTCACCACCCCACGAAGCCCATCGCCCAGCCCTTCCCGGCTAGCTTTTATAAGCCAGAATGGGCAAGGATCAAGGAGACAAGTGGTTGGTTTCACTCATCCAAGCAGCCTGTCCACATCCTCGGGGGTAACAGATTGGAATTGATCCCACACAACAGGACAGGACTCTAGCACTCTCCCGCCCCAGCCCTGCTCCCACGGTGGAGT